GAGAGAAGGAGGGAGGGGGAGGGGGTGATTGCTAACTGAGGCCTCTCGTCACCAAGATGAACTAGGTAGGTTTGCTATTGACAGCTGAGCAATCCACACAATAAAACCTAACAATTTCCAGCCCCTATACGATGTTGTCAATGTTTTCAATGGATCACCTTCCAGCTGGGTTCTCACACTACACTGACCCGGTTCCCTTTTCTTTTCTCTCCCTCAAGCGTGCAAACGCAAGGAGCAAGAACCCAACAAAGACAGGAACAACTCCCAGAAGAAATCCCGCCTGGTGTTCACGGACCTCCAACGCCGAACACTCTTCGCCATTTTCAAGGAGAACAAGCGTCCTTCGAAGGAAATGCAGATCACCATCTCCCAGCAACTGGGGCTGGAGCTGACCACGGTCAGTAACTTCTTCATGAACGCCCGGCGCCGCAGCCTGGAGAAATGGCAAGATGACCTAAGCACGGGGGGCTCCTCCTCCACCTCCAGCACTTGTACCAAAGCATGATCCAAGGACTCTCACCTGGGCACAAGTCACCTCCAAATGAGGACAACAGATACCAAAAAAAAAAAAAAAACCCAAAATACCAAAAAAAAAAAAATCACAGACATCAGATTCTTAGCTGGGGCCCTTCACTGGTGACTTGAAAGCACAATTCTCTTGAAACGTCTCTTCTAGCTGTAATCATAGGCCAGGTGTTCATTGTGTTCGCTTTTGTTTTAAATGGCTACAGAGTCCAAGTGCGCGCTGAAAACGAATCTCTCTGAACCAGACAGTGTCCTCTGAGCATGCTAGGCATCCCAGAGATCCAAATGGGGCCTTCTTGGAGCGAGTTCACTACAGCAGGGTGTCAGCCGAGCTCAGCATGGCTGTAAGCGTCAACAGTCCCATTCAGGCCCCGTCAATCTCTTGCATCCGTTGCCCACGGGTAATAGTGGGAATTTGGCCTGAGTAAAGACACAGCGTAGGATTCCAAGACTCTACGTGATGAAAAGAATTCAACAACAAGAAAGACCTCATTTGCTTCCCAAGTGCTTAGCGTCTTTATATCACAATATACTAAAATTCTCAGCCATAACATTACAAAAAAAAATCAGAATGGTGATTACTGAGCACAAGTTTTAAATATGAAAATCAATAAAAATCCAAGGACCTGTTTTTTTCCAACTCAGGCATTTTTTCACTGGATAGTTTAGAAAGTTTTAGGTTGATTAATTTACAATGTTCCTTTTCCTTACCTCCTGGAAATCTCATGTGGTCTTTTGGATCCGTCGGGAGAAAAAAAATAAAAGTCAGTTCACTTGAGCTCAAAGTATCAAGCACAACGAAGATATAACAGAAATAAGGAAGGTTCTGGTTTCAATGCATCCAGTCTGACAAGGCGGTTTAGATCTGCCTTGCTGTTGTGAAGTCATTAGGAAACCATTGGAAATATGGCTTCAAGCACACTTTGCAGTTTGTTACAAATTCTATTTGTCCATAAGGCAGATGCACACTCAGGAGGCCAAGTTAACTGTTACAGTACAGGAGCAAATGCATCGTTTAAAAAGATGTAGATTTTGTTTTTAGATCATTACCATGTCCTTGATTTACTAGTCACCCAGTTCCTCCTCTGTGCATTACGACTACCATGCGGTCCATTCTCATTCTTGCTGATTTATGTTGTTCTCCGTCCCATCCCATGAATTGGGATGCTTCTGTTGTTTTCTAGAAAGAAACAGTTCAATAAGCCACATCCTGTCGTCTCTTCCTAACTCTCTTCCATTGTTGATTCATCCTTGTAAAACAGCTGACTGAATCTGGAAAGAACACAGCACACCAAAGAAGCAGAATACTGCAAACCAAAGACATTTATTACCTGCCATTTTCTAGCCTACAAATACTGTGATTACTTTTAGAGATCAGAACACCTCTGTAACTCCGAATGGCATTCGGCTCTTGTCTTGGGCTCACCCTCTGGCTGAGCAAACCAGCTATGCCAATGACATTCGCCAGGCATCCAGGCGGTGGCTTCACCATGCCAGCTCTGGTTGTCACTTTCTCATAGCGATTGGAAGAGGGCCCACAGAACTCTGGGAGATTACAAAGGTCACTATGTGCGTATTTACCAGTGAATGGCCCCAGGTGGGCACCGTGAGGTGTTCCAAGCAAGCCAAACGCTGCAATGAGTCTTTACAGACACTTAAGACTGACTTTTGTATGAATTACTTAATTGAAACCAAAGAATCTTTTTCTGCACCTACTTCTGCAACAAACAGAACTGTCCCATTAAACTGAGTAAATGATCCCATTAATCACCGGAAACCACCACCAACAGGAAAAGCACGCTAAAATAAAAACACCGAAGACACACTGTGTTCAAACAGACCTCTTGGGACATTTTTTTTTTTTTTTGGAAGCAGATTTGAAAGGGTTGAGACAAGAATCAGAACACAGAAGAGCCTCAGTGGCCGCTGCTTCATTTGACAACTCACTTGGTAATCTTAAAGCTGAAGATTGTCTTTAATTTGTGCCTATGCAGTTTTTTCAAAAGAACATGGAACAGAGCAACAGAAACCTCAACAGCTACAATACCAAAGACGAGGATTCTCACACCTTTTGTCTCAGTTCGTTACCTTCTTTTGCCTGGCTAAAAATACTAATAGCGTCATTGATCTGTACAAAGGTAATTGATTTTGTTTCTTTAAGCAACGAAAGGAAAGGGTCATTCGTTTGATTTCATTGCTTCCCTTTAGTTTTGTCTTACGGCTTTTTACTCAGCATGGAATCCCCCCCAAAAAGGTTCCATGGACCCCCAAATTTGAGATGTTGGGATACTGAATGCTGTTCCCCTCTCTCTTCAACAGAGTCTGGGATATACTATTGTCGCTTGAATGTTTGTTGCTTAACCCTTAGACTTGGTTGCTTCTATGTTCAATGTCTCATCTTTAGGGGAAGGGAGGGGAGCAAGGGTCAGGGGTAGGAGTCTTGGTGATACGTCCTCGCCAGAGCCACAGAACCAAAGAATTTATAGAGAAATTTACAACCTCATCTTCATGTGATTGCCACATATTAACAGGGCTTCATTTGGGGGTGGGGAAACATGTAAAAAGAATTGCCAGTTTCTACTTTTCTATTAGCTTTTTAAAAAAAATCAGCTGTAAAGTTGCATTTCTAAAGAAAGATATAAATATATATATATTAAATGTATGAGTACATATATAGACCAACCTGCATTGGTGACAACCCAAAGTTTTCCTGTCAACATGCCATGTTTTTGTCATATGTTCCATTTTCTGAGTATTGGGTTCACAACTGTTCTCATGTCTCATACCATTCCAGAGTTAATTTGCCACTATGGTTGTCTGGCAGTATCCGTATTTCTATGTCAATTTATGGGAAAAAGTTGAAAGTCACATTTAAGTATCACTACATGTAACCTGCTGATGAATGGATTCATGATATAAATGAGTTTTATTTGCATCTAGTCATCTCTATTCTATGCCTCAACCATGTTAAAGCAAGGTTTCTCCACCAGGTTAGCTCAGAGCTACTGTGGCTGGCAGTTCGGGGAATGCTTAGTAGTCTATTCCCATCCACTGTGGAGTAGAACTCCCAGAAATCCACCTTCCAGTAGGTGCCCCATCCATCAGGGTAGTCTAGATTCTTCATAGTGAGCGGAGCCACCAGGGACTTCTCATGGGGAAGTCCAGCGCCTATTGCAATAGGTTGACCAGGTGTCCTCAGGGTAGTAATTACCTATTTATATTGAGAAGTTTGACTGCAACCATAGCTCCCACTGGGGTGGAACAGGGTCACTGGGGGGTGGGGTGGGGACATAGCTCAACCCTGGAGAAAAGACATATGGCAGATTGTGAGGAGAGTCCCAGATTCCCATCCCTGGGGAGCCACATTATCTGCTCTGCCACCTCCTTCCGTGCCCAGTGTGGCCTGTCCTGTGTATGAGCATCATTTCTAGAACTCCGTGTGATTTCTATAGTCTGTCCTGCCCGGAGAATGTTTCTCTCACCCTTCCCTTGTCTCCCTTTATCTCTTGCTTGTATTCCATGGGCCCTTGGTCAAATGGCCAAGAGAAATGCATATCTCTTCCAAAGGTTGCTCCCATCTCAGCTTGCTCAGGTGAATTTTAGCTTGGGCAAACACTAAATGGGCCCCTGTGATGTGTGGCCACTGGGAACGGTGGTTCTGATGGAATGTAGGCTGAGGAACCAAGCACCTTGTTTTGGCTGGTGACTGGCACACGAAGTAACGGCATTTGGGTCTCTACATCCTTGGAAGATGGTGACATGAAGGAAAAAAAAAGCAAGAAAAATGTCTCACCTATCTCAGATAATATCAAAGAGAATGTTTGCTTTAAAAAGTTATTTGTACACACACACACGTATGTATATGTATATGTGTCTGTATACATATGTGTCAAAATTTTAAGCCCTACAAAGTATAATTTTGCTAGCTGGCTAGCTGGAAGAAAAAAAAAGTGCTATGCTCAAAGGTTATAGAATTTGACCCAGTGTTTTTTTCCCAAAGCTTTTACATTTTTATTTTAAATTAATAGTTTCAGATAAAATAACGATTGGATAAAGTATAGAGTCAAAATCCTCAATTCAAGGAAAGTTCCAGACTGCCTCAGCCATCAGCAACAGCTGGACACTATGCAATAATAGTTCACAACCCAATTTCACATTCTTGGGGTGACAGAAACCCAAATGCTCGATGCTTGTGGGTGAAACAAGTCTTTCTTTAAGCCTTTGCGTAACTAAACTTGTGTTTTCTTTTGTTTTCAGTGTGATTTTAGTGATGGAGATTCAATTCCTTCATTACAAGAATTCTTTTAAAGGAGAGTCAATATATTTTTTTAAAGGACAATAACATTAATAATAAAAATTCGATTCCGTTATTTTAAAAAATTCCCCGCAATGTTATAGAGCATTTAGTTTGTGCCACAGACTAGTCTGAGCCCAGAAGGAAGACTGTGCACAGCTCTGGTTTTTCTAAAGGCTCTTGGCAGCTTTGGCTTTGGAAAGCCAATCTCATTGTCACTTCAAGCTAAAGCAAACCAAACACTAGGAAGTTAAGCCTACTAGACACACACACACACACACACACACACACACACACACACTTTTCTAAGGTAAGCAGTTAGTTTCAAAGCCAAATATTAATAATTTAATTTTAAATAATCAAACAATGTCTATGTTGGGCATCCATGACTTAGTGCCAGTAAATTAAAATTGAATAGCTTTTTAAACAAATAGTCACTATTTGGTAGGTACAGAGGGGAAGTATCCCCATTATAAAAAAATGTCTAGGGATGTGTCTGTTAGCTAGATACTATCATGGAAAATATCACGGAAATACACTTTTGGAGGAAATGGGTCCTCAGGAGCTTGTCTAGTTGGAATTTTTCAAAACCTACAAATTCCAAGGTTGTTAAAGAATAATCGTCTATTGAAAAATGGAGAAAGTAGATCAAAGTTGTGGTTAATGTTGACCACATGGCCCAGACATTGCTTTGTCAATATCTCTTCTAGCTTCCGGCACAGTCACAGCTGACTTTACTGTCCTGTTGATGCTGATTCAGACTTGCTAGTCTAACCAAGTGAGTGGGAAGCAGAAGAAGGGCTAGAGCCTTTCTGATGATTACCTGCAAGGTTTGATAGCTGGACAGTGCTGGGTAGTCAGCTAACCGGAGAGTGCAGCTGTAAAATCAGCCAACATGAATCCCCACTTAAGAAGAGCAGTATTTCTGGTGGCTGCTTGAACTATAGATGCCCAAATGCCTATTTTCTATCTACACTTGTTTCTTTGCAAGGTAGGGGGTAAGGGTGGGAGGTTGATTGGTTTGGTTCGTTTTAGAAAGTCCCAAGTACTTGTGAAACAAAAAAATAATTCTTAAAATAACTTAGGATCTCATATACATAGAGGCAGAACTTTTCATCAAGGCTATGTGTTATGCTCTGAGTCCACCTTAAGGGCTCATCAACCTCAGTTACCCAAGTGGCTACCAGTTGCAGGGAAGGTGGAGCCTCGACTTTACCTCTGTGCGCTTTGAGTTAGGTTGATTGACATTAACCAGTTCATAGTTTTGAGTAGAGAAAAATGTAAATAAGGAAAAAAATCACCATAGGTTTGGTCATTCCATGGGAATCTTCCATTTAGCTCAGTTTTTAGCAACAGGCATTTTATATGGCACAGACCTTGGTAGATAAGTTTGCTTGATGCTTATACAGTCTGTGGGCTTGGATGTATACAGGTCTAGATACATATTTCAACATAGATCCTCATAGTTGACTTTATATCCACATATATTGCCTAGAGGTGTCTAGACTGTGTACATGCAAGTGTGTACAGACATGTTTAATACATACATACATATATATTGTAATCTGTTACAATAAATAAATTTCAAATCATCCTGCAACATGTATGTGATACTTTGACATTGTACCTTGTCTTTATTATTTTCTTGTAAAGCTGAAAACCAAAGTGCAGAAATATAAGCAAAAGTATCCCACATCGTCATTCATCTTTATACTTGAAATTACTTTCATTTGGGTCCAGCCAAGACCAACAACTTATTGATGGAACATTGGATATTATTTAATTGTCTGTGTTAGATGTTTGATGACTTTGGTCAAATAGCTTTATTCTGAATCTCTCATAACTAAAGCTAAATCCAAAGACCTGAAAAAGAACAAAAAAAGGGGGCGGGTGGGGCTGGGGGGATGCAGAGGAAAAGTGCACATCAGTGGGAAAAAAGTGGGCTCTGGTTTCCAGGGTGGAAACAAGGGTGGGGTGGTCTTGTGGAGGTTACATTAGCTAGTGGGGGAGGGGTGGTTTTTATCCCTCATGTCTGTCATATCGAAGTGGTCTTTAATGTGATAAAGCTTTAAATGTTATACTTTGCTGCTTTGTGTTAACTTAGAATATAGAAAGAAATGACCCGTTTTGTCCATCAAAAGGAAAACCAAAACATGAAGACAACCCATCCCCACCCCTCAGATATATTTGAACGTGTCTCTTTCAACTGTGACCCGAGAAGCTGTTAGTTAATATAATTAAGTTATTTAAATTAGTTTCCTGTATGCTTAGCACGTAGCATTTTGGGTAATTATTTAAGTCTCTTTCCTTAGTTTGATTTGACTCCTTATTCTTATTTATGAAAATGCAGAGCAAGCAAGGCTCATCTGAGATGCAGAACCCTAGCCGCCGCTCTCCTCCACTGGACCCTGCTTCTTAAAACAGTGAACTTCTGTTACAGACAGGGAAGAAGCCTAGGTTACAGTGAAACTGAAAAACAGTCGGGGGGGGGGAGGGGGACATTTCCCCTCTCTGGTTAATTTCTAGAATGGTTTGATGGTTTTTTTAATTATTTAATTTAAGTTCACAGTGCCACCAGGTACCAGGCGAACTTCACCTCTTAATTCCTGGGGCCCTCAGAGCCTTTCTATTGTAACTTATTTATTTAACTTATTCGGCATCTGCGACAGGTGCGCTGTACAGTTTGTGTTTGTTATTTAAAACAACAGGGAGCACTGCAGTTTGCTGTCAGAACAACAGAGCAGATTTGTGGACAAGCAGTGACTGCTCAGCCGGAACCTTCTTCAGAACACTCGAGCTGAGATCCAACATCACCGGCCCGGATTTTGGGGCTTCTATATGGAAACTGGAAAAAATAAATTAAAAAAAAAAAAAAACAATAAACCAAAAAGAGAGAACCCTTACACTAGCTGCTTCCAAGAAAGAACCCAGTGTGCGTGTAAAGCAACAAAACAAAAAAGGGAAAAAAAGCAGAAAAAAAAAAGGAAAAAAAAAAAAACGGAAAAACTTTCTATTTGTAGTGAGAACCAAAGAAGGCTACCTCACTGACTTTTTCCATTTGTAATTTTAATCGTGTTGATGACACCAAAGATACCAAAGATCCCTTTCTCTGTGCGGTCTGCATTTTGCTTGTGCTCTTCCGTGATCTGAACTCTTCTTGCTGACATATGGTATGTACAGCCACAGCTCAGACACCCCAAAGAAACAATGATGTTTGTGAAGGTGGCTGCTAACCCTAGAGGGGATCTTTTCTGTGTCTCTTACCTTTGCCTGCTGCCGGTCCCACGTGTTCAGGATGCAAGCTGGGATGCTGCTGTCCCAAGCTGGGATGCTGCTGTCCCTGGGTTCTTTGGGGTTCCAGTTCCAATTTGGTGACGAAGACTGCTTGGAGGTGGCCTACAGGCCTCTGTTTTCTGGAGCTATCACTGGAAAAAAAAAAAAAAGTGCCAGGCTATTGCCAACTACAAAAATAAGCATTGGATAGGAGAGCTGGAAGGGACCTTAGGACACAGTCACCACACACACACCCCATGCCCTAGGGCCAGGTTGAATTAGTTAATCTGTGTCCAGTAACCCCAGAGCAAAACCCAACCCATGCTTCCTGGCTCCAGGTCCTAGGTCCTGCTGATTCTGTGGTGCTCTGCGAGTTGTGCCTGGCACTGGTCACATGTTGTCAAGTAGGAAAGTAGTCATTCTTTATCAATGAACAGAAACTGTAGCTTAGGGATTAATACTTTCATCCTTTAAGAATACTCTTCAGAGTCATAGATGATCTGTTGCTTAGTAATGTGGCCAGCCTTGAACTTATAGGGCCCACTCAGGGGTTTTGCCTGGGAGGCATATTGACCCAAATAGTAAGATGACTTTTGGACACACCCATTACAAAAATTTTGAATAAATAAGCTTAAATCAGTGGAAGGAGAAGGCTCAATCATGAACCATTGAGTTTATTTACTAGGCTATTCTAAAGTCAATATTTATCAAGCAAGGAACCGTGGCTACCAGTTTTGGGAGGATATTTTACCTGTCAGCTTTTTTATTTGTTCGTTTTCTTTTTACCTAAGCGTGTTCCCTTTTAACTTCTAAATTAATTCAATTTACACGATAAATGTAAGCCCTCCATTGCTTGATGCGAAGATGCATTCCTTGCAAATGAAAAATATCCCGATAGCAGAAGAATGGATATACCCGTTTAATAATGGTGACATAGTTACTGCTGTCCTGTTTTCCCTTGTCAAAACGTAATTGGTCTTCTTTAAGTTTCTTTCGATTCTATTAAATGACTAAATCACTATGAAGATCATTCACCAAAGTGATTGGAACGTTAGCCAGTGAATCTTTTTTTAGCTTTTGGCCACGTGAGATTTAGGTACACCCAAGTTCCTGTCTCTAGAATACAGAGCTCTTTATTGAATACTGTGATTTTTACATCTCGCGTAATAGTTATCACTGAGCTTTTAAAGAGACAATTAGATAAAGCTAAGAAGGGCAGATCAGTTAACTCACCAGCTCCATACACCAACAGTATAGCTGATAGAAGACTTTACAAAACTTAGAAACAAGGAAACATATCCTTTTTCTCTCTCTCTCCTTTTCTTCTCTTTCTTCTTTAAAGACAGGGTCTCATGTGGTTCAAGCTAGCCTGAAACTGACGGATAGATGAGGATGGCTTTGAACTCCTTCTTAATCTTCCTGCCTCTGTGTCCCTAGCGGTGGGACTACAGTTGCGAACCACCAAGTCCAAACAGTTATCTTCTTTCTGAAGTTTGCAAGTTCCATCCTGGCGTATGTAAAAAATCCTTTCCTACCTAGATGGGGCTAAAACTTCACAGTCTCCATATTCAAGGCAAACCTGCAAGGCCTTCTTTCCAAGCAGCTGATCACCAAATTCCTATTCAAATTCTCAGAATGTTTGTTGAGAACACACTAAGCAGCAGAGTGGTTCCCTGTAAGCAGTAGCACCTTCTCCAGTCTTCCTACCACTGAGCCCTAGGAGAGAGAACCCAGAAAGAGCAATGGCAGCCTGAACACAGAAAAGATCTCCATTGGCAGACCCCTCTTCAGCACCCCCTTTCCTCCCCAGCCTCATGCTTCACTTTCAAAGTGTGACATAACCACGGGACGAGTGCCTTGCTTGAACCAAAGCAACGATTTAGCCAGTCTGGACCTCTCTGTGCTTTTTTTTTTTTTTTTTAATCCTTCCTGTGAATACCTCAGCTTCAACTGGGCCTCCATACAGTAAATTGGTGGGCTTATCGTACTGCGGTGCTTTGCAATGCAACCCTGCAGCGAACAAGATTTGTACTGATACCAAAGGTTCTTTCTCTACGTCTCTTCCTTCCGCCTCCCCATTGTCCCCCTTTTCTAGTCCCTCACGGTTCCAAAGCTTTAATACGAACCTGGGCATGTTGGCAATGCAGACCGCGCAATTCCTTACTGAATTTTCTCAGATATACCTCATAGAGAATAGTGTTTAGAGTAATGTTATTATAGCGTATGTAATAAATTATTCACTGTTTCTTTTGGTAACTGTGATTTAAAAAAAGAAAAAAGAAAAAAAAAGCTTTATACAGTTTAGGTTGTGCTTTTGTAATAGCTGAAAATGTGCGCTTAAAAAGGAAATGTATGTTCTTTTTATTTTTCTTCCCCCTTTGGATTTTATTTATTCTGGATTGGAGAAAGTTGCAGAATGAGCCCAAAGTTTACAGTTTCATATTTTGCTGAAGAAACAATCTGTGTTCATTTGCTCTGTTGAAGAAAAAAAAAGTTATTTTCTACATTTGTGCTAATTGTTCTGTGTTAACGGTGTAGTATTATAATTAGCAACTGCCAATCAGTGCTATAATTTTATGCATGAGGCTAAAAACTTAGCAGTGTGATGCATTGTGGTCTTAATAGCAACGTTTTTCATTTTGTACTAGCTCCTCCCCTTTGGTTCAATGGACATTATTTATGCATGGGCGCCCATCATTTGTTAGCAGACGTGAACAGTTGTGTATACATTAAACTGTGAAAAATGTACACAGTTTGGCCTCAGACAGTGATAATACTGGTTTTCTTGGGAGATGTATTACCTTGGAAATCCCTTCACCTCTTGTTGGGATTTTGAAATGAGTCAGATGGAATCAGGGTTGAATTTTATGATGAGAAAGGTCATCCAAGTAGCCGTTAGCTTACTCCAACCCCGCAAATTGAGACCCTCATAACCCAGATATATCGCGACATCCGAGAGAGCTGAGAATTAGCAGTGGAGAGTAACTCACCTCTGCATTTTTAATTTCCACTAAAGGGAGTTGTAGCTTTATGTTTATGACCTCAGACCTATTGGGCCATGTATACAACAATGCTAATTCATCTAGGTCTCTTTCCTGGATTTTCCCATGGGGACCGGCTTCTTCTAGGATTCTGTTGCCAGCTGCCAGTTGAAATGCATGTAGCATCGATATCAGTAATTCATCTCTGGCTTTTTGGTAAACTGTCACAGATAACCCCAGCAGCTATTTGGATATATGGTTATTCTCTAAACATTCACTCATGTGGCCCTGACATATTTTTCCTCCTTAGGGTCAGAAATGACTCTAGATTCCTATTTACAAAGTTATGCCTATATTCTAGAGAGGAGTATTAAGAATTTTGAGAATCAATTTAGGAAAACCATCTTGGTTTGAATTCCCCAGCCTCTGAGGTCTCTCTATCTCAAAAAGTATTTTTTTTTCAGTCCCAATGGATTGGGCAAACATATCCTTATATTTGGGTTCCGAGATCCACTCTTGAGTTTCCTACCTATTTCCTACACCAGTTTGCTCCCCGCAAAGCCAAATCAGCTGCCAAGTTCTGCAGTTGTCCTGCAGAAGAGAATGAACCCGAGGAAATGATGGTGGGGGCACAGCAGTCTGCCGTGCAGAATACTGGAAATTGCCAAGAGACAGCAGAGCGTTGCATGTGTGTCCGTCAGTAAGTATGTCGGAGATGGTCATTCGTTGAGGACGCAAAGGAACGGCCTTATAAGCAGGCTGTGATAATGAAAGCTTTGTTATGTAGTCTTTTGATTTGTTTGCTTGTTTGTGTTTCCTTCTTATGAATCTGCCAAAGATGGGAATGTATACAAGAACTTTAAAATCAACCTTTGTAAGCGAGTTGTTGATTGTAATCGTGTTTAATCTCCCAGAAAGCTTTGCATATTCTTCTGCAATAAGTCAAGTCCCTATTTGTTTCCGTAAGCTCTCTTGACACTCACAGGCCTGCAAACTGTTCCTCATGATGCAGATGCTAGCGGATGCTGTAACATCTACAACGTTCTAATGCATTTTTTGATCCAAAGCCGACAAAGGGGTGTGTGAGGCACGAGCATGCCTGGCCTTCTTTACTACAAACAACACAGGGGTCTGGCTCATTAGAATTTGCCAAGAAGACTTGTCTTATGAAATTTGAGGTATATTTTGTTATGCCGTTTTATTTCCTTTTTTTTTTCTTAAACTGTGGAAAGTGATACATTGAATCAAGTGTAAGCTGAGTTTTCCAGACAACTGAAGTAGCTACATTGTGAATGTTATTTTGTTATTAAAGGGTTTTTACTCAATCTTTGTGCCAATGAATGTCCTTTTCCTTGGAAACACAAGAAATACGGAATTATCTCTGCTTGGCCTGGATTTTCCTCTTGTGGAGGTGTGTGGTCCTGGCCTGGGAAATAAATGTTTATGCCTCTGCTTAGAAGGTAGGTTTGGGACACTAGCAAGAGGTCTTCATGTATATCAGCTTTGAAAAGGCCTGGGTCCAAATTTTCCAACCTCAGTCTCTCAGGACCCTATCATATCTCTAAGAGCCCATGAGCAAAACAAACAAAACACCGACCCCAATTCATACAGGAAAGGAGACCTGGTAATCTCTCAT